AGCATCTCGATAAAATATGTAAACTTCTGATGGTGGCATTTTATAATTCTATATTAAACACACGAAATAGTTGCTATTATATTCGCCCGATCATTTTACGATATTAAATAACTTGGTTTTTGTGCTTTAGCATGACGATTTCAAGTTGGGTATTAATGATATCAGTTGGGTTCAATGCAGCGATAAGGTATGTTCTAACTCAACTCGTTCTCTCTGGTTTTTATATCATATGAAATTGATAATGCTTAACTGCTAAATCACATTCTTATTATTTTATAAAAATCTTGAACTACTTTTTTTCAATTAAATTTAACAAAGTGTGTAAAATATTGGTGATATGATGATGATCTATCTAGTGTAAGAGTAAGCAATGAAATTGGAGCTGGAAACCCTAATTCAGCAGCGTTTTCGGTAATCATCGTCAATATTTATTCGTTAGTCATAAGTGTGATCTTAGCCTTTGTTATAATGGTATTCCGTGATGTTTTGAGCTATGCGTTCACTGAGGGTGAAAAAGTCTCGGCCGCGGTTTCTGACCTCTGTCCACTTCTTGCTATAACGGTTGTCCTCAATGGAATCCAACCTGTCCTCTCCGGTAAAAATCCTCTTGCTTTATACACCGCAATTTTGCAAATCGACATAAAGGAAAAAATGTTTTGAATTTTTTTAAGTTTTGGTAATGATTATAAGGTGTGGCGGTTAGATGCGGTTGGCAAACGTTTGTGGCAAAAGTTAATGTGGGATGTTACTACATTATTGGAATTCTACTTGGAGCTCTCTTTGAATTTTATTTCAAATTTGATGCCAAGACAAGATATATATTTTTTTCCCTTTGCATGTAGTTTCTATTTTGTTGTTTTGTTATCCAATGATTATTTTATTAATTATGAGACTAGTTTAAGGGCCAACCATAGCGTTTAAATTTGTTGATTTTACAGGGTATTTGGATGGGAATGATAGGTGGTACGCTTATACAAACAATTATTTTGGCGTGGGTCACGTTTAAAACAGACTGGAAAAAAGAGGTAGGGGCAAAACAAATTTCCTCTAAGTATCTAAAAAAATGCAATATCAAATTCGATCTAAAAACTCCAATCTAAAAAAATGCAATACATTTGATTCTCGACAGTATTGACCGTTAAATTTTTTAACAAAACTTATATTATATCGTTTTAAGATAAAATATAATACATTTTTTTAGAGTTAAAAGAACTACATAACATAATTATATATCATAGTTTATGATAAAGTATATATATTCCATAGTCACACCATAAATATTTAAAAATATAAGATAATCCAAAAAATCTCCAGTTCCTACCCAAAATCGTATATCTAGAATCTACTTTACAATATGTATCTCTAGGATCTTGTAAACATTTCAAATTACAATATACACCTAAACAAAACTTGAATTCATCTCCAAAATCGTAATTCTTGGATCTAATTTACAATAGAAAATATAATCAATCATGCGTCTCATGAACTGCCCGTAGAGAATCGAAGTCAATGTTACTTTTTGGTAAGAGATTATGGGTTGGACTTAATTCCTAAAAATGTATCTTACTTTATGCCAATGTATAGATTTCTGTTAAATTCTTAACATTGTTAATGTTGAGAGTAAAAAAGATGCTATTAAATTAGATAAAAACATTATTTTGCAGTTTTTTAGATCGTAGTTGATCTTGCATTTTTTCGGCCGCCGCACTTGCGTTTGCCTACATGTCTTCAACTATATATCATTGATTTTTATACGATAAGATTAATTTGATATTATGTTTGTTTCAGGTGGAAGAAGCTTCCAAAAGGCTGGACATATGGAGCAACAAGAAACTAGAAGTGGTTCGCAGATGATGAGTGATGTTTGTAAGCCTATGAACCGAATGGACCATTAAACCGATGCAAAAGATTAAGATAACCGGTGAGCTGGTAAATATTGAACATGAATCCTCTACAATTCGATCTAAGCTTTCATTAAATTACGATCTAAGCTTTCATTAAATTACGATCTAAGCTTTATTTTGTATGCCAAATTACTTTTTTTCTTCTTTTAATTAAAAGACACTTGTTACATATTGTGGCTCACGCCACACAGTTTTTAAGATGTAAAGATTCTAAAGAAATAACATTAGTTACATAAACCCGAATCTTCCGTTTTGGGTAAGTTTGGAACCTTGTGGTGATGATATTTTTTTGCATATACCTTGAAATGGTTATTGCTTTAGTATTATTGTTTTGCATATACCTCTCTAAAACCTTACTGTCTTGCGTTTTGATTAAGTTTTTTGTACAAATTTCAATCTCCATTAAGCTGAATTTTTGTATGAAAAAGTTACCTCGCGTTTCTCTTTCATATTTAAAGAACATAGAACAAACTAATTGATGGAAAAAAAACACAACTAATTATTGGCACATCCTTGCTTAGAAGTGTTAAAAAAGAAGGTTTAAACAAATTTCAAAAAATCC